GTGTCAAGAACGTAACAACCTACCAACCAGAAAATGCGGTACAAAAACATTTAGCGGAATAGTTACAGCATAGAATCGAAACAAACCTCGGATGTTGGACACCGTTTGGATTCGTGCGCCAACCATCTTGCTAACTTCCAGAGCACTGTTGAACATGCCACGAATAAATGCTGTCTTGGAGAATATTTTGTACGGCTCTCCAATCAACTTGAGTTTCTTCATAATTTGAAACGACTGATCTGTGGCTGTAACGCTCCCGGTTCCGGCAACACGGAATGTCGGCAGACCGGACGCGTCTGATTGCGGGCGCCACGCGGAATTGACAAACAATGTAACGCCAGTTTTTGCGGGAACCAAAGGGCCGTAGATAGTGATGAGACAATGTTCATGAGGGAGAGAGTACTTGAGGAATCGATTCCGAAGATTGTGCTCCTCTTTCGAGAATACACCCACAGTTTGATAGCGACGCCAGCCGATAGACACGGTGATGGGGTCGTTGGATCGAAGCACACGTTTGAGCCAACGATGGGTACGAAACCGAACTTGGATGTAGCCTTTAGCCTCCTCGGCGCTGGGAAGACCACCAGCCACCAGGGGCTGACAAGGATTGAAGCGATCAATAAATTGGTACGGTATACCTGCAACAGAAGGTAGGCCTCAAAACTAAATCGTAACTAGACTGAATTGAACCGAAGTTTTGTGTTAAGCCCTGAGATAGCAAGCCAGCAATAAGCAGAATGACAAGCAGCTGCATAAAGGTACTATATCAGCAATAGACTAACATGATCAACAAGGCGCATGTATGCAACACTTTGATACGACTATAAAAATGGCCACTGTGTGGTGATTAGAATAACACCGATGACCTTGCATCCTTAGTTTGAAGCAGCATATCGCACATGCTAAGTGGAACCGTTATGCAACCCGCCCATAGCCGCCTTTCATCCGGCACCCGAACCTCATGCAAAACCTGCTGTAACTGCTTGAGTGAGACCGGTATCTGCTACAGGAAACTAGATGGACAGAGACAGACAGCAACGCTTGCATGTAGAGGCAATTTCATTAAAGTCGATGAGAAAACGAGCTCAAGACGAGCAGATGCCGCTCGCTGTTGGACGTGTTGGTTGTAGCAAAGTACCGAGAAAGCCAATTTGGCGTTAAGAACACGTACGAGGGTGACTCTAGGCCAATAATTGATTTGAGCTTCAGCTCCTTAGCTCGCATCTCCTCAAGCGACCGAGAGTCCCTATGTGTATGTTCTGTGTATAGATGAGATGGAGAAAGCTAGGCCACATAGTGTATACACATTTGATCGCAATCTATTGTAGTGATGGCCACCACACATCAACAGTGTTTTAGTTGATCACAGATTCGACCAACTAGTAGCATATCCAACACGGCCAACGTATGAACTGTGTGCAACCCGATTGCTTTGGGTGTCTTTCGAAGATTCTTCGTTCAATGCTCATTCTAGCAGTAAAGTTTATTCTAACTAATAACTTTTTGAGTTCAGTCAAGTAGACTGTGCCAGCTACAGTGGGGCATCGAAGTAAGTAGATGGACGCAAAGTGACAACCAACCCTGACAAAGCCAGGACACAGA